ACACCATCACAATGCAGTCATTGGTCTGTGCTCCAGTCTGCTGTGAAGGTGGGGGTGTCTACACACACCATCACAATGCAGTCATTGGTCTATGCTTTAGTCTGCTGTGAAGGTGGTGGTGTCTACACACACCATTACAATGCAGAGTCACTGGTCTGTGCTCCAGTCTGCTGTGAAGGTGAGGGTGTCTACACACACCATCACAATGCAGTCATTGGTCTGTGCTTTAGTCAGCTGTGAAGGTGGGGGTGTCTACACACACAATCACAATGCAGAGTCATTGGTCTGTGCTCCAGTCTGCTGGGAAGGTGGGGGTGTCTACACACACAATCACAATGCAGAGTCAGCCTCCCTCTGTATTTACCCTCAAAATGGAGCCAACTGCCACTTTGTAAAGTGGAGTTATCCAGGGCAAGGCCCAGCCTCAAAGCCACTGTTTCATGCACTAGAGCAGGGCAGGAGCTTAAGGCCCAGCCTGATCTCCATGCTGTGTAACAAGCATTGAACTCAGCGACTCTGCCCTTTGAGCTGCTGCACATGATGTCCTCTGGGGTCAGGCATTAGGGGGTCAGACATTAGGTGGTGTTGCAGGCTACTTCAGCTGTGTTAGACAGTCACACTCACGTGACTGACACTTAATGTGCTTCTCCACACAGCCTCTCTCTCATTCTCTCCACTCACTGGTCTAGCCAAGGCTTCCTCTAAGCCTAATACTTAGGGTCCAAAAACAAAGACAGAAGTTACCAGGCTTCTTACAGGCAACACTCAAAATGAGCATCATATCTCTTCCATTTAATTCTACTGGTCTCCATAGGCCAGAAGGCCAACATGGATTCAAGAGAAATAGGTAGGACTCTACATCATGGTAGGAATAGAGAGCCGTTTACATCGTGGAGGGAAAGAACTATTGGCTGTGTAAGAGCTGACCACAATGCACACTGCCAATATCTATTACATTTCTTTTCTGGTGTGAAGGTTGGAGGAGGTAAGAAGAATCTCGGCCGCGGAAGCCCATGCTTTTCTTCCTGTTGTATGTCAGTACTTTTTGTCTCATAAACCAACAGGAGAAACCAGTGTTGTCCAAAGGAAGAAGGCAAGTCGCAAATGAGTCCAACACTCACAATTTTTAATTTTCTAGTAACTTCAGTCAAAATGTTATATGGAACAGGTAACATAATTTTAACATTTTACTTTTATCTAATCCATTCTATCCCATATACATCATCTCAACATGTTATCAATTGAACATGATTGAGACACTTCAATTATTGTACTCTATGGCATGCTATTGAATATACAGCACATCTCAATTTGGACTTAACCACATTTTAAGTGTTCAGTAACCCACAAATGGTTTCTAGATGGACAGATCAAGGCGAGATAGTCCCTTTGTTGTCCTTGCTTTTGAAGTAGCTTGTGTTAAAATAGATATTTTAATGCACTTGTGAATGTGAAAGAGAAAAATCCACAAAGCCACAAGCATGCTGCATACCACGTGGGCTCATTGAATATGGTCTTGTTGCACCATTTCTGAACATCTCATTACCGAGACCAGAGACCTCCTCAAGCTTGTTCACATAAGACTGGAGGCCGTTTGTACTCTGTTTCTGCCTGGTGCTGCGGATTAGGCTCCTCAGGGTATTTGTATTCTGTTTCTGCCTGGTGCTGCAAATATTCACCAGGCTTCTCAGGGTGTTTGTACTCCGTTTCTGTCTGGTGCTGCTTCTCATTCCTCAAAATGTCTCAACATTTTCATTTCTGTCTCTGTGGCCGCTCAGATGTCTTCTCCCCACTGGCTAGGACCCTTCCCTTCCGGTTGGTCCACCTTGACTTCCCCAGCCCCCTAACCAACCTCCTAACCAACTGTGACAACCTTCTGATAACCAGCTGGAGTGCTCCAGGTTTCCCAGTTCCTTGTTCCCAGCAGAGGTAATCTGATTGGCCCGTTCTCATTCCTTCCTGCTGCTTCATGCCCCATTTCACTGGACAGTTGGCTCTCTTGGTTTCAGCCCATCCCTATTCTAATAGGGAAGTACCTTCTTGTGGTTCTCACTATGGCCACCTGGAAGTGAGGGCGGTGGATGGTGCGTGGGTAGTTTCCTTTGGAGAAGGTGATCAGACAGACACTGACTAATATTAAAATACTCTGTTTATCTCTGTCATTGGGACTTCCCGACTGAGCTCATCAGTCTGACCCTGTCTTTAACTTGGTACTGTCCTTGACTGACCTCCAGCTCAGCCCCAC